AGTTGACTTCCCCACACGTTTTCCCTACAATCTGGATGGTAAGGTTTCTCTTCTTGATCTATGTTTTACCTCCATCCCCGAGTCCTGTAGCGCCACGCAGCTCTGCCCTCTTGGCAACTCCGATCAACTCCACCCCCCTGCAAAGAACCTCATACCACTAGAACATCGTTCTGCTATCAATGAGCGTTCCGAGATTTCATTCGCGACGTCCCCTGGGACGTTGTGTTCCCGCTCCCCGTTCAAGAATGTGCTTCAGAGGTCTCCTCCTGAGTTAAAGCTGGAATCGAGGCTTTCATCCCTTCAAGGAAATATATGGTCAAATTGCACTCTTGCCCCTGGTTCTCCGCTGTTTGCTCAGTTGCCATTGCCCATAGGAATCACTTCTTCCACCTTTATCGAAGCGACATGTCTGATTGCAATAGACGTCTCTTTGTCTCTGCCCATAACGAGTCTAAGCGTGTCCTCAATGAAGCAAAGTCACTATTTGCTGCTCGAATGAAAGAACGTATTGCATCTCGTAAATTCGGCTCCAAGGATTATTGGCATCTCTGCAATAGCGTACCTAACAATAGCAAACCCTCTATACCTCCTTTGTTCAACCAGTTTGAGGTTCTGACCTCTTCTGCCAACAAGGCTGAATGCTTTGCTCGGAAATTCTCATTCAATTCAACGCTCGACTCTTCGGTGTACACACACCCGATTTCTCCCTTCGAACTGAGGCTCAATTGAGCGAATTGCACATAACCCCGACATCGGTTCTGGGCATCATCTCTAAATTAGACCTCCACAAGGCTAGTGGTGGAGATGGGATACCAGACACTGTCCTGAAGAAATGTACACCTGAACTGGCCCCTGCCCTCTCCAAATTATATAACTACTGCCTCAAGGAATCTTGTTTTCCATCTTTTTGGAAGTCCTCATCCGTTGTTCTTGTCTTTAAGAACTCTGGAAACCTTTCTGACCCTTCTAACTACCGTCCTCTCAGTCTTCTACCCTTCTTCGGCAAAATCTGTGAAGCTTTAATCAACGCCGAAGTGGTTATGCACCTTACATTCCATAATCTGCTCTCCGACAAGCAATATGTTCTACAGCTGATGTGCTTACGACCATAACTGAAATTGTTTACCAAGTACTTCATAATATCAGAGAAGGTCGTGCCGCGGCTCTTGATATCTCCAAAGCGTTTGATAGGGTTTGGCATGCCGACTTTCTTCGCAAGCTTCAGGATTATGGAATTACAGGTCGATTGTTCGATTTAATACAATCAGTCCTGTCGAACCGTACATTGAAGGACGTTCTCAAGGGATTCTCCTCCAGCTCCTATCCCACAAACGCAAATGTTCCCCAAGGCTCTATCCTAGGCCTTACTCTGTTCCTTATCTTCATTAACGATCTTCCTGATGTCATAGTTTCCCAAGTAGGCATCTATGCGGACGACACTACTATTTATTCCTGCCTCAAAAACAAATCTAGTGTCGCCGACAAAACTAACCTGGTCGTTTGTCTTGAAAAGGACCCCCAATGGGTTGTGGACTGGGACAGGAATTGGCTGGTTAACTTTAATGCCTCAAAAACAAAACTGCTCTCTATTAATCACCACAGAGAACCATCCCTGCTTCCCATTAGAATGTCTGACGCTCAACTCCACGAGAACACCTCTTTGCGACTTCTCGGTCTTACATTGTCCGATGGCCTGAGATGGAACGAATCCACTGAGTCCACCGCTAGGAAAGTTCGCTCCCTGTGCCGCGCCAGGAGATTTTTCTCGCCGGAGTCAATCCTTCAAATCTACAAATCAACCATTCGCCCTTGCATGGAGTATTGTTGCCATATATGGTCTGGAGCCTCTTCTAATTGTCTCAAGGTCCTTGATAAAATCCAAAGACGGATATACAATGTAATTGGCCCTGATCTGGCATCTCGTCTGCAGTCGGTCTCTCACAGACGTGCCGTTGCCTCCCTCTGTCTTTTTTACAAATACTTTCACGGTAACTGCTCCAATGAGCTGCTTTCGCTGGTTTCCAGACTTCATGAATTTAAGCGTCCACCTAGGCTGGCACCTCGCTCTCACCCTTTCACTATCGAAACTGTTAATGTAGCCGTCTCTTCTACTTCAATATTTTCATGTCTCGCATTTCTCGCCTGTGGAACTCCCTCTCCATTCCTTGTTTTCTTGATAGCTATACTCTCCAACTATTCAAATGTAACGTCAATCGACGTTTCCAGAAGCCCTGAACTATCCCCGAACCTTCTCTTCATCCTTTCCTCTATCACTCCTCGCACCAACTCTCTGTAACCCCTTTCGTGCTAGTGGCTTCCGCCTTGCTTGGGGTTGAATTCGTAAATATATATATATATATATATATGTGTGTGTGTGTGTGTGTGTGTGTGTGTGTATGTGTGTATCACTTGAACGTTAATTATTATTGGATAAAAATTTAGTGATAAAACTTTCCTGGATTAATAAATAAAAAAACATTCTTTATAAATATATACGTTGTCACCCGCAGACAAACTGTTTCGCAACTCATCAGTGTGGTTAGACGTCCGGTTGCTTCTAGCTAGGATCGAAACCCAACCGCATTGGCGTCAGTCGGGGGATTCTACCACTAAGCCACTGTGAATTTAAGCGTATTTATTTTTAGATAAACACGCATTGACTGAGAGAACTCGATTCGATTTACCGAAGAGTCTTGCATCATTAGCCGTCACTGTTTACAAACCCACACATATAAACACACACACACAAACACACACACACACACACACACACATATATATATATATATATATATATATATATTTAAAGTATACTATATTTGTGGTTAAAAGTCTTCAGTATCAGTGATAGGGCCTTTTTAAATATAAAAGTGAACACTGAGGTCAAATCCAAACGACGATAGTTTCATACTTCAACGCAATCCTCAGTCTATAGGTGTCTTGTGTTTTCGCTCGGTTATTTATATATGCTGGCCAGTGGTGTATTATGGGTAGTAATATCTATTGTATTATCTGCTGGTTATTAAGTGGGCAGTATAACGGTTGTGTTTCGAATTATTTTAGAGGCTGTTCATTAGAAATAATTGTAGACCCGAGTGCCGTTTTTTTGCCAACTTTTTACTCATTATTTATTATAGATTGCTTAATTATTTGTTGTTGCTTTATTATTATATTGATTTTTATATAGTATGTTGCATTGTTTGCGTTGCCTATAATGCATATGTTTGCATTTTTCATGGTGGCATTTTACAAGGTATAAGTTTTTGGTTTTCGATTTTTGAGTAACGTAGTAAAAATTTGTTTTCGTGTTTGCATTTTGATATGAGTTCTGATAGTTTATTTAGTAATTTGTTTTGGTCTGGGCAGATTCTAGCTATTTTTCCTCCAGACAAAGCTTACAATTTTTTGTTTTACTATTGTATTTTGATGCTATTTTCCTTATCTTCTACGATATTTTTGTTGTATTTTTTAATTTCTCATATATATTTCGAAAGTGTTGTTCTGTTTGCGTATTTACCATTTGCAAAGACTACTTTATGTTCGTAATTTGGCTGTTTCCAGGGTCTGTCAGTTATTCCTACGTATATTTTTCTTCGTTATCTGCTGATTTTACAGTGACTTGGTATATTGTATTGTTTTGTAAGCAATTGCGATATAATGGACAATCGTTCTTTGCACTATAGTTACAGGTGGGTTTCGTTTGTGCGAGTGGTTTATTAATTTTTTCTGTAGTTGCACCCAGAACATGGCACAAATAATTAAAAAGCACAACATAATCCGGAAGAAAAAAATATACAACTCTTAAAGAAAATGGCGACAGAAAGAATTCTTCTATTCCATGGATACATAATAAGAAATGAGGGCTTAAAAACTTAACGGGGCATATTGAGGGCAAGAGTTGTAGAGGAAGGCAGTGAGATACTTACCTGACGAGCATGTGTGAATGGATAGCGGGACGGAGTATGAGTGTCTTAGAAAAAGCAGAAAAACTATTAAGAGCCACAAGGGGTAGAAAGCTGTGGAGAGCTATGATCGCATATGTCCTAAAAGGACGCGCCATGCAGAAGAAGTTTTGCTAATTCCGGCGTTACCTCGTTTGCTGGAACCGATTTCAAGTTACTTAAAGGTGACGTCATTTACAAAGGACAAACTGAATTTTTACGTGATTTCTTTTTGCTATATGCACTTCACTATACGATCTTTGATGGAGAAAGATATTCTATTTAATGTTGGCTGCTTTCCTTGTATTAAAACCGCTTCCAGAACTTTATGCGTTTCTTTGCATTGAGCTCTATATAATATTTTGGTGTTATCCATTGGAATTTATCTTGTATAATTATTGTTTTGTTTATTTGTGATTGCACATCTATATCTCCGCTAATTGGAGTAAATTTTGACAAATGACAAGTCAACCAACGTGAGAGTGTGGTGTATGTGTGGTCTATATAAAAATTTAATGTTGATTGTTACTATTGGAAATAAAATATCAGAAAGGATGTGAGAATTCATAAACAACATTATTTTTATATCGAGTGGGTTTTTACATCGAGTGGAGTTTTAAGATGCTGAATTATTTCTAAGAATTAGATTAGACACTTTGATTTTTTAAAAATAAATGATAAATCTAAGGTATTTGTTAGGATCAATAACTATTATTTACCGGAAAATTATATTTTTAATAGCATTTTCGATTTAATTATAATTAAGATTCATCTGGTTAAAATAAAATAATATAATACAATAATATAAATATATGTGTGTGTTTTTCTGTGTTTCCGTGAATGTGTGTGTGTGTGCGGACGTATCTATGTGTGTATGTGTATTTGGCTGTTAAGCAAATAATGTTTTCTTTTGTTCATTTTATCTAACATTATTTCTTATTAGTATAAGCGTTATATTCGGGAGGTGCATTTTCTTTAATAAGATATTCGATCTCGATGACGATTAGCTCCAGTTTCAAAAATGTCTACTCAAAGACGTGCACCAACTAAATATAGAATTCATAGTAATAATAGATAGATAGATAGATAGATAGATAGATAGATAGATAGATGAATGAAATTTTTCCTAATTAATGTTGTATTTATGCTATACCTCCTTTGACATAATAATGACACATGACATTTAAAAGTCAGCAAATGTCATATTTAACTCTATTTTCCAATTTAAACAGCTTGCAAATAGAAAACTTTGATTACATTCTAACTTCTTAGAGTTAACTCTTGCTCAATTCAGCTAGCTAGTGGAATTACACAGTCAATATATATATATATATATATATATATATATATATATATATATATATATGAAACTTATCTGTCAATAACGATCCCAATAATTTCCGACCTTTGACAATAACCGTCCCAGATTTTTAATAATCGATAAAATTTATCTAAAAGTGCTAAATTCGACGGTTACATTTTACTTAAAGATTATAATATATTTAGTTTTTCCTTACACAAAAGGTAAAAGTATAGCAAAAGACGTCACCCAAAAGCTTAGTAAAGTATTAAGAAACCGGAATATTTGGTTAGAAACAAAGAAAAGAGTATTGAACTTTTATTTAATATCAGTCGTCCTCTATGCCAGTGAATGCTGGACAATCTCATCACAGATTAGGAAGAGACTTGAGACAATAGAAATGTGATTCTAGAGACGGAGGTTAGGCCTACTATTGACAGACAATTTGAGTAATGAGGAAGTTTTAAGGAAAATGGAACAAAACTTACATTTAGAATGAGAAAAAAAACAGTTGAAATCTCTAGGGTCCATCATGAGGAAAAAGGGATTGCATAATTTGACACTCACGTTACATTAACGGCAAGAGAGACAGAAGAAAGGAGTAACCCTACCTAAGAAAATTACGTAAAAGTAAGACAGAACAGGGATTGGGATGGAAAAAGACAAACCTTACTAAGAGCTACAAACTATAGGAAGTTATGTAGAGCCATAATCGCCGACGTTCTGAAGAAACTCGGCAATTAGAAGTATGTGAGATAAAGACTATTTTGATTGAATGAATAAATTTCCTAATGCTTTTTTTTTAATTTTCTTTAAATAAATTAGTTATTTCATGTTGATCAAAAAAGAGTGGGAAGAAAGTCTGAAAAGTTTTCTGACAACACAAAAATAGATATTTTTTTAATTGTCTATTTATTAGGTCAGGTTTTGGGAAATATGTTAGGCCGAGAACATTTCAGCACACCAGATTCGTCGCCTGCGATTGGTGCCGTCTCACTCAGAAAGCTTATCTCCCACCACCACTGTGAAAATGAGATTAAATAATTTTATTTTGCAAATTCTTACTCGTCTCTTCTCAGCACTGATTTAAAAACTGAAAACATTAATACAGAACAGCTTCATATTTATATCATAATTTACATTCTTTGTGATTATCACTATTTGATGTCAGTTTTCAAAACTTTCACAAGGACTCATACTTGCTGTTGAACGTGAAATTGAAGAATTAACAACGACCATGTGTTTCCAAATATACATGCTCAATTTTATTTTCTTTCTTACCTATTCTATGAGAATAAGCATCGAAATATTAGAATAACTCATAAGTTTAGTTTGTCAGATAATGACACATAATGAGGAAAAAAGAGTTGGAAACAAAAAAAAACACTCACAGAACATATAGAAGGCAAGAGGGAAACGGTGAGTAACCTTCCTAAAGACCTTGAGTAAATGGCTACCAGAATATGGACTGGCAATGATGCTGAAAAAACAAATATTACTAATAGATACAAAATACAGAAAATTGTGGAGAGTCATGACTGCAAACGTCCTGAAATCACAAGGCACATAGAAGAAGATAATTGAATTTCATTGTAGGTCCTATATTTTTTTATTTATGTTCTATTTTTTTTAATAAAAGGTAAAATAAAACTATTTTCTTTTTTGCTTGAAAGTAACAATGCTGACAGAAGCAATATTATTGGGCCTATTCGGCATCTTTTTACAGCAAATGATACCGTGATTATACAGGGTGTCCACCAAAACTGACATCATTTTGTAATCTTAACAACATAGCCAATTCTTGCTTAAATGATCTCAAATTTTAATTATGTTGACCGTGCGAACTTATCGCAATGGGAATCTACCATGAAGATAGATCGGGCGTGCCAGTGATAATGACAATGTGCTGTTAAAATGGCCACCACGTTCAACTGACTTAACACCTTGTGATTTTTTTCTATGGGGCTTTGTGAAAGGTGTCTATAACCCACCTCTTCCTACAACCCTATAGGAACTTAAGGAGAGAATCACTGAGGTACTGGAGAATGTTACGCAAAATATGCTACAGCGTGTTTGGCAGGAGCTGGACTACCGAATTGACGTGTATCGTGTCACAGGTGACGTGCATATTGAACATTTGTGAACCTTTGTAAAATCGGTTATAAAATCTACATCCTTTTGAACATCTTATTCGAATTTTGATAAATAAATCTTTTATTGTTCAACATGTAGCCTATTTAATTTCGTTTGCATGAGAAAATAGTCACTCAGATATTCACAGTTTAAATGATGTTAATTTTTGGTGGCGACACCCCGTATTTATTTGGGGGTAGCCAAGGAAGCATTCGAAAAGCCAAGCAAAATACTAAGAAATAAAAAAAATGTTCGCTAGAAACAAGAAAAAGAGTACTAAACTACTATGTGATATCTGTCTTCCTGTATGACAGTGAGTGCTCCTAAAAAATGAAGAGGAGACTTGGAGCAACAGAAATGTGGTTCTACAGAAGGATGCTGATGATATCATGAACCGAACATGTGAGCAACGACGAAGTTTTGGAGAAAATAGAAACAAAAAGGAAACTAATACTTAACATCAGGAAGAGATAGTTGACGTTTCTAGGTCACATAATGAGGACGGATGGCTTAGAAAATCTGATACTCACGAGACGGGAGAAAAAAGACAGAGGAAAACAACGCAAAACATACTCAGTGAGCTTGAGTAAATGGATGGCGGAACATAGGAAAAATAACAGTAAAATCAAAGTTTATTAAGAGCTACAAGGGACAGGAAGTTGTGGTGAGCCACAATGGCCTATACGACACATAAAGAATAATAATAAATCAGGACACGATCAGATACTTCTGCTAGCGGAAAAATACGATCACTTGTAAAGTAAACTCATCTAAAAGATGAAGCCAATCTAGAAATTGCGTTGAAGCATAGAGTTTATTTCATGAGCCATTGTTTGTAACGTTATCTTTTTTTGTCTGTTGAAAAACGGGTTTTCTAATTTTATTACCCTTTCTTTACTCCTACTTGTAAAATTCTAATAGCAGTACGATTTCTGTGAAGGAAGCAAAAGACAGATTGCAATGTATCATTTTGATTGAATTAAGTGCGAGTGCGCATACGTCAGATTTGAACCAGTTTCGCGCCATCTTATTGGTTGCGTTTTTTTCTTTTTTTTTCTTTTTTACTTTCATCAGTGAGTTTCCGTTGTACTTGTGACACATAAAAAGTAGAAAATGAGCAAAGAGACCACACAGATCCACTGAAAGCTGGTAAGAGCAAAAAGAGACTACAGGAAGTCTATTACTAAACACTTGACATAAGTAAATTATTACTTTTATAAAATATTATATATTTAGAAATGATCCATCATTGTGTATGCGTGAAAAGGAGATAACAGTTTCAAATTCAAACTGACAGAAAAAAATTATTATTTTACATCAGACCTTACGATTTAACCACACACACATTCCACACATACAGAAACCTTTTATGTATGTTGTGTGTGTATCGAGTGTAGGATTCTATATGGGGTTTATTATGATTTAACGCAGCAAATGAAAAGCCCCTGTGAGGACTAAACTTCCTGCACTTTAATGGTCTTCGAGATTATCTTCCGCATTCCAATGATCCGGTGATATTTTTGTGCCGTATCTCATGACACTCTAGAACCTTTGTAGCTCTAAGCATTGCTTAACCCATTACCAACCTTCTTAGTAGCTATTCACGCTGCTATCCGTTTACACAAACTCTTTGGGAAGGTTAATAGATGTTTGAATGGAGTTTTCTCAGTGAGGGAATGCCAGATGAAAATGATTTCTAAACAGGTATCTCTTTTTGTATTCACAACTTTCCTGTAGATTTACAAAAGCTTTAATTCAATCATGTTAAATTTGAATTAAGTATTTACCAGCGGAGTCACTCGAACGATATGTGACAAAAGGCCAAGGCACCTCGACGTGGTGTAATGGTTAGAAAGCTTGTCCTGCTAGATCAGTTACGACTGAGTAGTGAGTTCGATCCTCACTGGGTACCTCATAATTTCGGCCTTGTGCCACATCTAAGCTACGCTTAGAAAATCACTGTAGGACAAAATGCCAACTTTGAGGTGGGTATTTCAAGTGGGCATAGAATTGGTAACAGAATTTATCTAATTATCTCAGCATTTAGTCTTAGGACACAAGTGTTGACACACACACACACACACACTCTCTCTCTCTCTCTCTCTCTCTCTCTCTCTCCCCCAGTGCAGTGAGCGTGCGGCTGTTTGAAACCTTACTAAGCCAGTTTGTGGTTCGGGTCACCCAAATAGGCCGAGAAGAAATTTGAACTTATTGACCAGATAAGAAGATCATATTCCGTAACCATCTCGGAATTTAGAACCAAAAGCTTTATTCAATCCATGAAGGGTGATAATTTGTGTAAGTTAATCCTTCGTATTTAAATGGTTCTTGTAATCACGAAAATGTGAAAATATTCCTAAGGCGCAGAGGAATAGCGAAATATGCCTTTCAAAAACTAACCAAAGTATTATGTAATATGAAAAACACAGAAAATGTGCAATATCTAACCTCCTATGTGACAGTGAATGTTAGACAATCTTCCCAGAAATGATGAAGAGATTTGGAACGACAGAAATGTGGTTCTACTATTGAATGCTAAGAAAACCATGGACAGAGCATATCAGAAAAGAAGAAGTTCTAAGGATTTACAAAAACATGCTACTAAAAATCAGGAAGATAACAAATATGTAGTATTGATGCCATATCTGGGATGGAGCTGTATAATCCTCACTTGCCTGTCTTGAACAAGTTCAAACGCGTCTACCCGGCCTTGTATTTTCTGCCCTACAACTTTTCTTTCCCACAGACGCCTCTCACTGGTCTATCACTACTTCCATGACATGTGTTCTGACAGGCTATATTCCTTAATCCCACCACACCTGACTTTTACAACTGGGATCCGCTAAGTAAGTTCCATTCGGACAGTTAATGGTGACTACTGCTTTGTGGAACAAACTCCTGGCAAGATGTTTTCCCAATCACTACACTCTTGACTTCTTCTAGTCTAGGGTTAACCATTATCATTCCTGCATAATGTCACCCCAAGGCGGTGTAATGGTTAGCGAGCTTGTCTCGCTAGATCAATTACGACTGAATAGTGAGTTCGATCCTCACTGGGTGCCCCATGCTTTCGGCCCTGTGCCACATCTAATCTACGCTTGGAAAATCACTATCTTTCCTGCATAGGCCGATGCACTTCACTTCTTGTTCTTTCTTACGCTCATACAACACCATACTGTAACCTACTACATTGAATGACTCTTGAGCATTTTATTGTGTGAACCTTAGAATAAAAAAAAGGAGAAACTCGGAATTTCTGAGACATAAAATGATGAAGGAGAACTTGTCGAACAGGACATATTGAAGGCGAGAGAAGTAATTGGAAACAGTGAGTAACCTACTTAACAAGCTTGAAGGAATGGGTGACAGAATAATTTCAAAGACTAGTAAAAGAGCATTAGTTATTTCGAGTAACACAACCGAGGAATTTGTGGAGAGCTATGATCACCTACGTCCTTTCAGGATGTAGCACATAAAAGAAGATGATTTCTTTCACTTTTCGTTTTCTTTTTATTATCAAAATAAAACGTACGTATGTAAATTTCGACATTACTCAATATATTAACTGTTTTTCATTTGGAAGAATAATGTGACATCGAGTTATATTGAAGTTAATACATTCCGAAGTAATTATTGTAACTACTAAATAATGTATATAATGATATAAGTTTTAATTGTAATTCATGTGAAGTGAAATTATTATTATTATTCTAATTATCATCTTAACTTCGGCTTTTGTATTAAAACTACATAAGCTTGATAAATAAAGATTTTTTTAAATTTTTCTACCCTTCCAAACGGAAAATATCGTATCTGTAACAGGCTGCACATACTGTGAATCATTCACTCTTCCGGTTGTACCAGAAGTACGGGGCCAGTCTCTATATGAGTGCAGCGTTAATCACGTCCGACAAAGAAGTTCAACTCAGTGTCTTTTCACGTCAGTTAATTCTCGTTGCATTTGCATCGACAACACTCGTCTGTATCTTTTTATAGAACAAAATATCCTATTATTGTCGAAATGGCCTATTACAACAAATGCAATTAAAAGAATGATGTTTTATATTTTAATTGTTGCTTCGTGTCTGTTATCATATCTTGGGAATTTACTAATGTCAAAATATTTCCTATGGACAGATTTTGAACGAATAAAGAGTGCGATATTCATAAGAATAGTCTTTCCTATGAAGATTTACATGTTACGTAGAATAGACGAAATCGTTGAGATTATTCTGATCGAACTGTTGCAAATTACGAATGAGGGTAGTGATATCAAAGGAAGGAAGGAATTGAAAGAAACCCAAAAAATGAAACTAGTAATAAAAGAAATCAAAGTTTTATGGATTCTTAACGTACAATAAAAATTAAAAATACAGTTGTTGAAAAGTTCAGGTGAACAATTGAGAAAAATAAAATTCTACAAATACTGACGAAGCGAAATCAAAGAAAAAATAGAAACAAGAAAAATATTTCAAATAAGAAAGAAAAAAATAGTAAAGAGAAAACAGGTGAAAAGAAAGAAAGAAAGAAAGAAAGAAAGAAAGAAAGAAAGAAAGAAAGAAAGAAAGAAAGTCATAAAAAGGGAAATAAAGAAAACAGAAAATGAATGCTACATATGATTGAAAGAAAGAACGAATTAGTAAATAGAAAACAGGTGAAAAGAAAGAAAGAAAGAAAGAAAAGAAAGAAAGTCATAAAAAGGGAAATAAAGAAAACAGAAAATGAATGCTACATATGATTGAAAGAAAGAACGAATTAGTAAATAGAAAACAGGTGAAAAGAAAAGAAAAAGAAAAGAAAAAAAGAAAAAGGAAATAAAAAAACAGAAAATGAATGCTAATATGATTGAAAGAAGAGAACGAAATTAGTAAAATAGAAAACAGGTGAAAAGAAAGAAAGAAAGAAAAAAGGAAAAAAGAAAACAGAAAATGAATGCTACATATATGATTGAAAGAAAGAACGAATTAGTAAATAGAAAACAGGTAAAAAGAAAGAAAGAAAGAAAGAAAAAAAAAGAATGTCATAAAAAGGAAAAAAAGAAAACAGAAAAATGAATGCTACATATGATTGAAAGAAAAGAACGAATTAGTAAATAGAAAACAGGTGAAAAGAAAGAAAGAAAAAGAAAAAGAAAAAAGAAAGAAAAAAGGAAATAAAAAAAAACAGAAAATGAATGCTACATATGATTGAAAAGAAAGAACGAATTAGTAAATAGAAAACAGGTGAAAAAAAAAGAAAAGAAAAGAAAGAAAAGAAAGTCATAAAAAGGGAAGTAAAGAAAACAGAAAAAGAATGCGACATATGATTGAATGAAAGAACGAAATATTAAATAGAAAACGGGTGAAAAGAAAGAAAGATAGAAAGAAAGTCAGAAAAAGGGAAATAAAAGAAAACAGAAAATGAATGCTAAATTGAAAGAAAGAACAAAATAGTAAATAGAAACAGGTGAAAAAAAAAGAAAAGAAAAAAAAAGAAAGAAAAGAAAGAAAAAGAAAGAAAAAAGAAATAAAAAGAAAGACAGAAAGAAAATGGAAATAAAAAAAAAACGAAAAAGAAATACAAAAGAAAGAAAGAAAGAAATAAAATGGAAATAAAAGAAAAACAGAAAACGTAAATATATGATTGAAAGAAAGAACGAAATACTAAAAGAAAACAGGTGAAAAGAAATAAAGAAAAAAAAAGTCATAAAAAAGAAATAAAACAGAAAAGAAGAAAAAATGAAAGAAAAAATAAAAAAAAAGAAAATCATAAAAAGAAAAAAAAAAACAAAAAGAAACATACTGAATGGATTGAAAAAAAACAGAAAAAAAAAAAAAACAAACAAAAAGAAAAAAAAAAAAAAATCAAAAAAAAAAGAAAACAGAAAAAGAATGAATTATGATTGAAAGAAGAGACGAAATAAAAATAGAAAACAGTTGAAAAGAAAACAAAAGAAAGAAAATAAAAATCATAAAAAAGGAAATGAAAAAACAGAAAAAAGAATGCTACATATAATTGAAAGAAAGAACAAAATAGTAAATAGAAACAGGTGAAGAAAAGAAAGAACGAAAGAAAGAAAATAATAAAGAAAAAAAAAAAAAGAAAGAAAAGAAATAAAGAAAGAAAGTCAAAAAAGGAAAAAGAAAAAACAGAAAAAGAATGCTACATATAATTGAAAGAAAGAACGAAATAGTAAATAGAAAAAATAAAAAAAAAAGAAAAAAAATAAAAAAAGAAAAAAGAAAGAAAAAAGAAAAAAGAAAAGAAAACAGAAAAAAGAATGTCATAAAATGGGAAATAAAAAGAAAAAAGAAAAAAACTGAGTAAAAAAAAAGAAAGAAACAAAGAATAAAAAAAAAAAAAGAAAAAAAAGAAAGAAAAAAAAAAAGAAAGAAAAAAAGGGAATAAAAAAACGAAAAAGGATGCTAATATGATTGAAAAATTACGAAATAGTAAATAGAAAACAGGTGAAAATAAATAAATAAAAAATAAATAAAAAATAAAAAAAAAAAAATAAAAAAGAAAATCATAAAGATTGAAATAAAAGAAAACCGTAAAAGAAAAACATATGAAATAAAAAAAACAAAAAAGAATAAATAAAAAATAAAAAGAAAAAAGAAAGAAAAAAAAGAAAGAAAGAAAAAAGAAAAAAGAAAAAGAATGAATAAAAAAGAAAGAAAACAGAAAAAGAAATGAAAATTGAAAAAAGAAAAAAAAAAGAAAGAAAAGAAAGAAAGAAAAAAGAAAGTCAGAAAATGGGAAATAAAGAAAAACAGAAAATGAATGCTACATATGATTGAAAGAAAGAACGAAATAGTAAATAGAAAAACAGGTGAAAAGAAAGAAAAAAGAAAGAAAGAAAAAAGAAAGAAAAAAGAAAGAAATAAAAAAGAAAAAAACATAAAATAAAATAAAAAAAAGAAAAGAATTAGAAAATGAAAAAAGAAAACAAAGAAAAAAAGAAAAAGAAAACAAAGAAAGAAAAACGAAATAAAAAAATATAGAAAAAAGAAATCGAGAAATAAAAAAAAAAAAAATACTAAATAGAAAACAGGTGAAAAGAAAAAAAAGAAAGAAAAAGGAAATGGGAAATAAAGAAAACCGAAAAGAATGATTGAAAGAAAGAACGAAATAGTAAATAGAAAAACAGGTGAAAAGAAAGAAAGAAAGAAAGAAAGAAAGAAATAAAGAAAGAAAGAAATAAAGAAAAATCATAAAAAGAAAATAAAGAAAACCGAAAAAGAATGCGACATATGATTGAAAAAACAACGAAATAGTAAATAGAAAACTGGTAAAAAAGAAAGAAAGAAAGAAAGAAAGAAAGAAAGAAAGAAAGAAAGAAAAAAGAATGTCATAAAATGGGAAATAAAGAAAACAGAAAAAGAATGCTACATATGATTGAAAGAAAGAACGAAATAGTAAATAGAAAACAGGTGAAAAGAAAGAAAGAAAGAAAGAAAGAAAGAAAGAAAGAAAGAAAGAAAGAAAGAAAGAAAGAAAGAAAGAAAGAAAGAAAGAAAGAAAGAAAAGAAAAAAAGAATGTCATAAAATGGGAAATAAAGAAAAACAGAAAAGAATGCTACATATGATTGAAAGAAAGAAAGAAAAATAAAAAGAAAAACAGGTGAAAAGAAAGAAAGAAAGAAAGAAAAAAAAAGAAAGAAAGAAAGAAAAAGAAAGAAAGAAAGAAAGAAAAGAGAAAGAAAGAAAAAAAAAAAAGAAAAAAAAATAAAAAAAAAGAAAAAGGATGCTACATATGATTGGAAAAAATTACGAAATAAAAAAAAACAGGTGAAAATAAATAAATAAATAAATAAAAGGAAAGAAATGCTATAAAAGAAATAAAGAAAAACCGAAAAAGAATGCTATGAAATAGTAAATAGAAAACTGGTAAAAAAAAAGAAAAAAAAAGAAAAAAGAGAGAAAGAAAGAAAGAAAAAAAATGTCATAAAATGGGAAGTAAAGAAAACAGAAAATGAATGCTACATATGATTGAAAGAAAGAAATGAAAACAATTAGTAAAATAAAAACAGGTGAAAAAAAGAAAGAAAGAAAGAAATATATAGAAAGAAAAGAAAAAATCATAAAAAAAATAAAAAGAAATAGACAGCTATATATGATTGAAAGAAAGAAAGAAATAGTAAATAAAAGAAAAGAAAGAAAATCAAAAAAAGAAAAAGGAAATAAAGAAAACAGAAAATGAATGCTACATATGATTGAAAAAAAGAACGAAATAGTAAATAGAAAACAGGTGAAAAGAAAGAAAGAAAGAAAGAAAGAAAGAAAGAAAGAAAGAAAGAAAGAAAGAAATATAGAAAGAAAGAAATCATAAAATAGAAATAAAGAAAACAGAAATAGACAGCTATATATGATTGAAAGAAAGAAAGAAATAGTAAATAGAAAGCGGGTGAAAAGAAAGAAAGAAAGTCATAAAAACGGAAGTAAAGAAAACAGAAAAAGAATGCGACATATGATTGAATGAAAGAACGAAATACTAAATAGAAAACGGGTGAAAAGAAAGAAAGAAAGAAAGTCATATAAAGGGAAATAAAGAAAACCGAAAAAGAATGCTACATATGATTGAAAAAGCAACGAAATAGTAAATAGAAAACTGGTAAAAAGAAACAAAGAAAGTAAGAAAGAAAGAAAGAAAGAAAGAAAGAGAGAAAGAAAGAAAGAGAGAAAGAAAGAAAGAAAGAAAAAAGAATGTCATAAAATGGGAAATAAAGAAAACAGAAAAAAAAATGCTAAATAAAGAAAGAAAGAACAGAAATAGTAAATAGAAAACAGAAAAAGAAAAAAAAAAGAAAGAAAGAAAGAAATAAAGAAAACGAAAGAAAGAAAAGAAAAAAAGAAATAAAAAAAAAATAAAAAGCGGAATAAAAAAAATACGAAAAGGATGCTACATATGATTGAAAGAAAGAAATAATAAATAGAATACTGGTGAAAAGAAATAAATAAATAAATAAATAAATAAATAAAGAAAGAAAGAAATAAAGAAAGAAAATCATAAAGAGAGAAATAAAGAAAACCGAAAAAGAATGCTACATATGATTGAAAAAACAACGAAATAGTAAATAGAAAACTGGTAAAAAAAAAGAAAAAAAAAGAAAGAAAAAGAAAGAAAGAAAAGAAAGAAAGAAAAGAAAGAAAAAAAAAAAAAAAGAAAGAAAAAATAAAAAGAAAAAGAAAACAAAAATGAATGAAAATAAATGATTGAAAGAAAGAACGAATTAGTAAATAGAAAACAGGTGAAAAGAAAGAAAGAAAGAAAGAAATATAGAAAGAAAGAAAGAAATCATAAAATAGAAATAAAGAAAACAGAAATAGACAGCTATATATGATTGAAAGAAAGAACTAAATAGTAAATAGAAAACGGGCGAAAAGAAAGAAAGAAAGTCATAAAAACGGAAGTAAAGAAAACAGAAAAAGAATGCGACATATGATTGAATGAAAGAACGAAATACTAAATAGAAAACAGGTGAAAAGAAAGAAAAAGAAAGAATATAAAGGGAAATAAAAGAAAACCGAAAAAAGAATATGATACATCTGATTGAAAAAAAGAACGAAATAGTAAATAGAAAACAGGTGAAAAGAAAGAAAAGAAAGAAAAGAACGAAAGAAAGATAAAATGGGAAATAAAAAAACCGAAAAAGAATGCGAAATAGTAAATAGAATACTGGTGAAAAGAAAGAAAAGAAAAGAAAAGAAGAGAAAGAAAGAAAGAAAGAAAGAAAACCGAAAAAAAACTACATATGATTGAAAAACAACGAAATAGTCAATAAAAACTGGTGAAAAAAAAGAAAGAAAAGAAAGAAAGAAAGAAAGAAAGAAAAAGAAAGAAAGAAAGAGAGAGAGAAAAAAGAAAAGAAAAAAGAATGTCAAAAAATGGAAATAAATAAAACCGAAAAAAATGCTAAATATGAAAAAGAAGAACGAAAATAGTAAATAGAATCAGATGAAAAGAAAGAAAAAACAAACAAAAAAAAGAAAAAGAAAAAAATTGAAAATGAAAAAACAGAAAAATAGTAAATGATTGAAAGAAAAACGAAATATTAAATAGAAAAACAGTTGAAAAAAAGAAAAAAAGAAAAAATAAAAAGGAAATGAAGAAAACAGAAAAAGAATGGTACATATAATTGAAAGAAAGAACAAAATAGTAAATAGAAAACAGGTGAAGAGAAAGAAAGAAATATAGAAAGAAATAAAGAAAGAAAGAAAGAAAGAAAGAAAGAAAGAAAGAAAAAAAGAAAGATATAAAGAAAGAAAGTCATAAAGAGGGAAATAAAGAAGACAGAAAAAGAATGCTACATATAATTGAAAGAAAGAACGAAATAGTAAATAGAATACTGGTGAAAAGAAATAAATAAATAAATAAAGAAAGAAAGAAAGAAAGAAAGAAAGAAAACAGAAAAAGAATGCTACATATGATTGAAAAAACAACGAAATAGTCAATAGAAAACTGGTGAAAAGAAAGAAAGAAAGAAAGAAAGAAAGTAAGAAAGAAAGAAAGAAAGAAAGAAAGAAAGAGAGAGAGAGAGAAAGAAAGAAAAAAGAATGTCATAAAATGGGAAATAAATAAAACCGAAAAAGAATGCTACATATGATTGAAAGAAGAACGAAATAGTAAATAGAAATCAGATGAAAAGAAAGAAACAAACAAAGAAAGAAAAAAGAAAAAAATCATAAAAAGGGAAATGAAGAAAACAGAAAAAGAATGCTAAGTATGATTGAAAGAAGAAACGAAATATTAAATAGAAAACAGTTGAAAAGAAAGAAAGAAAGAAAGTCATAAAAAGGGAAATGAAGAAAACAGAAAAAGAATGGTACATATAATTGAAAGAAAGAACAAAATAGTAAATAGAAAACAGGTGAAGAGAAAGAAAGAAATATAGAAAGAAATAAAGAAAGAAAGAAAGAAAGAAAGAAATATAAAGAAAGAAATAAAAAGACAGAAAAAAGAAATATAATGAAAGAAAGAACGAAACAGTAAATAGAATACTGGTGAAAGAAAGAAAGAAAAGAAAGAAAGAAAGAAAAAAGAGAAAAGAATGCTACATATGATTGAAAAAACAACAGAAATAGTGAAAACTGAAAAAGAAAGAAAAAGAAAGAAAGAAAGTAAAGAAAAGAAAAAAAGAAAGAAAGAAAAGAGAGAGAGAGAGAAAGAAAGAAAAAAGAATGTCAAAAATGGGAAATAAATAAAACCGAAAAAGAATGCTACATATGATTGAAAGAAGAACGAAATAGTAAATAGAAATTGAAAAGAAAGAAAAAACAAAGAAAGAAAAAAAAAAAAAATCATAAAAAGGGAAATGAAGAAAACAGAAAAAGAATGCTAAATATGATTGAAAGAAGAAACGAAATATTAAATAGAAAACAGTTGAAAAAAAAAAAGAAAGAAAGAAAAAAAAAAAGGGAAATGAAATAATGGTAATATAATTGAAAGAAAGAACAAAATAGTAAATAAAAACAGGTGAAGAGAAAGAAAGAAAATATAAAAGAAATAAAGAAAGAAAGAAAGAAAGAAAGAAAGAAAGAAAGAAAGAAAGAAAGATATAAAGAAAGAAAGTCATAAAGAGGGAAATAAAGAAAACAGAAAAAGAATGCTACATATAATTGAAAGAAAGAACGAAATAGTAAATAGAATACTGGTGAAAAGAAATAAATAAATAAATAAATAAATAAATAAATAAAGAAAGAAAGAAAGAAAGAAAGAAAATCATAAAAAGAGAAATAAAGAAAACCGAAAAAGAATGCTACATATGAAAAAAACAACGAAATAGTCAATAGAAAACTGGTGAAAAGAAAGAAAGAAAGAAAGAAAAGAAAAGAAAGAAAGAAAGAAAGAAAGAAAGAAAAAAAAGAAAAAAAAAAAGAATGTCATAAAATGGGAATAAAAAAAACAGAAAAAGAATGCTATATGATTGAAAGAAAGAACGAAATAGTAAATAAAAACAGGTGAAAAGAAAAGAAAGAAAAGAAAGAAAGAGAGAAAGAAAGAAAGAAAGTCATAAAAAAGGGAATAAAAAAAACGAAAAAGGATGCTACATATGATTGGAAGAAATTACGAAATAGTAAATAGAAAACAGGTGAAAAGAAATAAATAAATAAATAAATAAATAAAGAAAGAAAGAAAGAAAGAAAGAAAGAAAGAAAGAAAGAAAGAAAGAAAGAAAATCATAAAAAGAGAAATAAAGAAAACCGAAAAAGAATGCTACATATGATTGAAAAAACAACGAAATAGTAAATAGAAAACTGGTAAAAAGAAAGAAAGAAAGTAAGAAAGAAAGAAAGAAAGAAAGAAAGAGAGAAAGAAAGAAAGAAAGAAAAAAGAATGTCATAAAATGGGAAATAAAGAAAACAGAAAAAGAATGCTACATATGATTGAAAGAAAGAACGAAATAGTAAATAGAAAACAGGTGAAAAGAAAGAAAGAAAGAAAGAAAGAAAGAAAGAAAGAAAGAAAGAAAGTCATAAAAAAGGGAATAAAAAAAAAAAAAAAGGATGCTACATATGATTGGAAAAATTACGAAATAAGTAAATAGAAAACAAGGTGGAAAAAAAGAAAAAAAGAAAGAAAGAAAAAAAAGAAAAAAAAAAAAGAAAAAGAAAAAAAAAAGAAAGAAAGAAAAAGAAAAAGAAAAAAAAAGAAAAAGAATGCTACATATGATTGAAAGAAAGAAAAAAATAATGTAAAAAAAAACAGGTAAAAGAAAAAAAGAATGAAAAAAATGGAAAGAAACAAAACAGAAAAAGAATGCTAAAGATCAGTGGAAAGAAAAAGGAAAGAAAAGGAGATAGGAAAGACTTAAAAAATAAATTGAAAACAGGAGAAAAACAAAGGGGAAACAGAAAGAAAGAAAAGAAAGAAAGAAAGAAAGAAAGAAAGAAAGAAAGAAAGAAAGAAAGAAAGAAACAATTGATTCCAAACTCAGTGGTCTATACAGCACCAGGTTATAATCAACACAAATTTGTCTCACATTGACAATACCCAGTACTTGTTAATGAATGAGTTCCTCCAAAATTCTGCTCCCGATATACATCTTTTCCGGAAATTGGATAAACACAATAAAAACTAAATAGAACTTTTCGGAAATACTTATGGAAGTCATTTCTAAATTTCATCATTTTCTCAACCATTCCTCGGGACATTTCGTAATAATTATTACATAAAAATATTATTTTATAAATGCTTACTTATATACTCTAACTTTCAAATTTACTGTTACAACTGTCAGTTTCGTGAACTCTCAACAGCAAACAAAAAGCCATATATCTCTATCTATAAAAGGCAGATTGTGTGTATGAGTGTAACGAATGCACGGCCGCAATTTTCGACGGATTTGCACCAAGATTTACATGCACATACTCCAAGTTAGCGGAAAGGCCAAGACCGACTTTGCATTTCCAGTCTCCCATTGATAATGGAAATAATCGATTTTTTCATGCTTCTACGGCAGTTTCCTCGTAGTTTGCGGCCATTTTCTACTGGCCAGAGTGAGAGCCTATAGCTGGCTGCCACGAATTTTAACTAGCATGCTAGCATGCACAAAATATCGATAACTACATTCGTCACAAGTGGGAAAAGTTTAAATCTGCATGGCACTTTACTCATTCGCTTGCTTAAACTCAACGTTGATTCTGATTCCGCAGAACTGAGGAGTGAGAAAAGTATTTCTTGTTAACATTATTTTTCATTCGGTTTTTCCAGTTACGAGTCCTTTTTTAAAGCTGATCGTTTTGTGTTCATTTTGTTTAGTTCTTTTTTCGTAACAGATTTAATGTTTAGTATAGAGCTTAGAAACAATTCGCAGTGTGAGATAGGCAAGAAGTAAGGCATGTGACAACATCAGTACGGCAAAGGGCACTCCTTTAAAGGCAAGGAAGGGCAAAAATATTTTAAGTCAAGTGATAGCGATTGCTGTATGAGTCATACGATTTTTGAATCAAGCACGGGAAACGCCGGGCCATGCTGCTATATATATATATATATATATATATATATATATATATATATATATAAGATTATAACATAAATATGTTATAAAATCACTACAAAAATAGCTATTTTGTTTCAACACCTCCGGTGTCTTATCAAGTGATGATGTTGAATGTAAAATAAATGGTTTTAAAAGTTTCAAATTAATTAACGATCATTCGCAAGGGGAAAACGTTGTTACAAAAGCTAGAATGACCAATCAAAATACAAGTATAGGAAAATTCAAAAAGCTCGACAACGAAGTCATGTTATAATAGCTATTGAGATCTTTAAAATAGGGGTAATATTAAAAAAGAATTTATTCTAAACAATAATTATTAAATTATATGATAAATTTTGATATTAAAAGTAAAAATTATCAATTTTAAAATCCATATTTAATCACTATTAAGTTTAAAATTATAAAATTACTGAGGAGAAAAGAAGAAATACATATGTTATTCAATTTATTTCTTCATTGACATTACGTTAGAATAGACGCTATGTCATCCGGTCCTCTGACAATATGTATACATTTTAATCCCAAGTGTGTGAATGGGGTCCTAACCTCACACGTAAAACAACACAAACACACTCAGATTATAATGCATAAGCACCCAGAAATATTTAGATATATATACAGACAAAAAATGTGACGAGACAGGGAACATCTCCACGTCCCTTTATGAAAAAAAAAAAGAAAACTAACACATACATACACAATTAAAAGTGAATGCACTTTCCATATACATAGACACCGATAAATACATGTACACACATCCACATACATTGACCTAGACAATCAGATACCACAACCAAAAAATATTTAAGACTGAAAGTGTCATTAAACAAATGCTGACCACTTATTAAAATATAACTTAAGCGAGCAAATATACAAAGATAAAAATGGTTAAAAATAATATTATTTAATAGATTAAAAAACGAAAATTCCAAACCCACAAGTACACAAACATATATATACCAACACATATACAAACATACGCATACACATAGAAGAAAAAAAAACAAAAAAAGAACATGCAAACGTAAATTCACCTATATAGACATATATACACGCACAAACACCCATATATATATACATACACATATACACATATATACACACATATATATACATATATATATATATATGCATACACAACCACACATATGTATATACATACACACATAAAAACAGGAATATACATACATTCTAACAACATTATCTTATTAACAATAAAATATAGTTCATAATAATTTTATAAAAAGTAACCACACACAGTTGTTGATTAAGTCTATAAGCCATTAAAAAATCCCTATCATAGGTAGATGATCCCTATCAAGGGTAGATTTTAGTTAATATCGATGGTATGTTTCAAGACACTGATATATATATGAGAGTCTGTCTATATTTCTGAGATGAGGTATTATGTACAGTATTTACATTAGTCGGACTATTGTCCTCATCTTTGTCGCCATATTTGTCACAACATTTCGGCCGTTGTACGCTCCGGCCTTCTTCAGGTGGTTGGAATTTCGAACTAAACCCTTTATTTCGATCACTGGGGTAGACTGTTCTAGTTCCACGTGCCATGTTTGATGGATGTCAGTTATCAGTTATCTCCTGCTAATTTTCCCTCTGAAAGTTCTCCACTGCCTTAACCGGGTATTGAACTCACACTCACCATCTGTCACTGGATCTAACCAACGCCTTTATCCACTGTGCCATGTGTCTTTCAGCAACCATTTTTACCAGTGCTCATATTGCAATTTTGCTGTTATCATTGCATGTTTTTACCAGAGCTCATATTGCAACTTTGTTATCATTGCTTTTCTCTGGCACTCCTTATTACTGGTTCCCATATTGTATTTATTTCTATGCTTGGTCGGCTCAGGAGATTTTTGTGGTCTAGCATATGTGCTGATTCCTTAAGTTTATGAATTTTCCAATGGTGTTCCCTGTCTATGATCTCAACATGATCCCACAGAGGATAGTGGTCTCCCTTCTCTCTCCATATGTGGTCAGCCATGCCTGATTTTTCTACTTCCCCTCGCGTTACAGCTTTCTGGTGTTCTTGAAGCCTTACCTTGAGGGGTCGGCCTGTCTCTCTTTTATATACCTTTCCTCAGCTGCATGGGATAGCGTACACACAGTCTTTAGTCATGTTCTCCTCTATAGGGGGGTCTCACTCGAGAGAGATATCTGCGTAGTGTTGTCACGCTTTTGAAGGTTGTCCTGATGTTATATGGACCGCAGATCCTTTGTATTTTCTCTGATAACCCCTTCACATAAGGCAGGCAGACAGTTCTCTGAGTGTTGTTGTCCTCCTCCTCCTCTTGTACCCGCCTATCCCAGTTTTTGGGGACTGCTGCCATGTACCCAGGGTAGTTGTTACGTTGCAGGGTACTACTTATACTGACCAATTCCTTATCTAACGCCTCTGGGTCTCCACTTATGACTTTTGCTCGGTGTTTTAAGCAACGAACGATCCCTTTCTTTACGCTCTATGGATGGTGGGAGTTGAAATTGAAGTACTATCCGGTGAATGTTGGTTTACGGTATACGGATGTCTTGAACCCATGCTCTGTTCGAGATATTAGTACATCCAGGAATGGGAGTGTATTGTTACTCTCTTTCTCCATTGTGAACTGTATCGAAGGTCTTATTGAGTTCACATGGTCCAGTAGAACCTGAACATCTTCCTGGGACATCTGTGTATGAATTTCTGGGTATTATAAACCTAATGTCTTCAGCAACCATTTTTTTACCAGTGCTCATATTGTAATTGTTGCTGTTATCATTGCATGTTTTTACCAGTGCTCATATTGCAATTTTTGTTGCTGTTATCGCTTTTCTCTGGCACTCCTTATTACTGGTTCCCATATTGTATTCATTTCTATGCTTGGTAAGACTCAGGAGATTTTTGTGGCCTAGCATATGTGCTGATTCCTTAAGTTTATGAATTTTCCAATGGTATTCTTTGTCTATCATCTCAACCTGATCCCACAGAGGGTGGTGATCTCTCTTCTCTCTCCATATGTGGTCAGCCACTTCCCCTCGTGTTACAGCTTTCTGGTGTTCTTGAAGTCTTACCTTAAGGGGGCGGCCTGTCTCCCCTTTATATTTCTTTCCGCAGCTGCATGGGATAGTGTACACACAGTCTTTAGTCATGTTCTCCTCTATGGGGGGGTCTTACCTGGGGGAGATATCTGCAGTGTCGTCAAGCTTTTGAAGGTTGTCCTGATGTTATATGGTCCACAGATCCTTTGTATTTTCTCTGATAACCCCTTCACATAAGGCAGGCAGACTGTTTTTTGAGTGTTGTTGTCCTCCTCTTGTATCTGCCTATCCCAGTTTTTTGGGTCTGCTGCCATGTACCCAGGATAGTTGTTACATTGTAAGATACTACTTATACTGACCAATTCTTTATCTAATATCTCTGGATCGCCACTTATGACTTTTGCTCGGTGTTGTAAGCAGTGGACAATCCCTTTCTTTACGCTATATGGATGGTGGGAGTTGAAATTTAGGTACTGTCCGGTGAATGTCAGTTTATGGCATACAGATGTCCTGAACCCATGCTCTGTTCAAGATATTAGAACATCCAGGAATGGGAGTGTGTTGTTACTCTCTTTCTCCATTGTGAACTGTATCGAAGGTCTTATTGAGTTCACATGGTCCAGTAGAACCTGAACATCTTCCTGGTGTGGCCAGAGTATGAAGGTGTCATCTACGTACCTTAACCATATAGTTGGCTTTAGAGATATAGATTCCAATGCCATTTTCTCAAAGTATTCCATGTATATATTTGCCATTGCTGGTGATAATGGCGAGCCCATTGCTAAGCCCTCATCCTGTCGATATATGTGTGATCCCATTTCGAAGTGTGTTATTTGTGTACAGAAAGTCAACATATCCATCAGATTATCTATTGGAATACTGGTCCGTTCTTCTAAGGAAGAGTCAGAGGCCAATCTGTCTCTGACTACTGAGAGTGCCTCCTCCGTGGGTCCCTTGGTGAACAAACTCACCACGTCCAAGCTCACCATCTGGTTGGATAGGATGGGAGCATATTTGATTATATAATAATCCATCACTACAGTCGCATTACCTTTGTCAGCCGGTAGTATGATGATGTTTTCGTTCCTCAGTTTTGTTATGTTTGACCTGGGCGGCCTGGCTCTCTCCAAGGCCTCTCTTACTTTCCATCTTAGTTCATCCGCCTGAGTCTTAAGGAAGTTCAAAGCCACCTCCTCGACTCTGGCAATGATGTCTAAGTATGACACCCGCCGTATGGTTGTGGCGAAGTTGAGACCCTTATTCAATATTGACTCCTCAGAGGCACTCAGCTGATATTGGCTGGTGTTGACTAATGCTTTCACTGGTTGGTGATGGACCTTGTGCGTAACCTTCTGATCTTTCAATCTATTTAATTTTGCACTTGGCGAGCCTTGACTACACATACACATACATATATATATATATATATATATATATATACAAATACAGAAATACTCACATATATATATATATATATATATATATATATATATATATATATATATATATATACACATAAATACGCATATATACATATAAACACACATAGACTTACACGCTTGGCAGTAAACCCAAACCAAAGTTGACATACCTCCTACACATACACACAATCTCACATATGATAGGTGTCAACACATAGATATACACCCACACACATATACACATACATATATATATGTATATATATATATATACATACATAAACACATACATACATATATATACTTCTATAATAACAAGTACGTATACACATACTTACATACATAAACAAATATACACACACTCACATAAATATATACATATACACACACACACACAAATACACATACAAATGCATATATACACACATAGACTTACACACGCGGCAGTAAACACAAACTAACACACATATACATACATACATATATATATATATACATAGAAATACATACATAGAAATATATAAACATATACATACTTATATATATTTATGATAACAAGTACATATGCACACATACTCACATATATATATATATATATATATTCATACATACACACAAATACACAAACATATACATATATACACACATAGACTAACTCATCTGGCAGTAATGACAAACCAAAATTTACATACCTACACATACACACAATCTCATATATAATAGGTGTCAATACACATATATAGACCCACACACATGCATATATACATATATATACATATAAACATATACATACATATACCTATCTATAATAACAAGTACATATATATATATATATATATATATATATATATACGTATATACACATAAATACACATTCAACATAATACATATATAAACGTACATACATATACATGCATAAACATCCATCCATATACATACACACAGCCATATACATGTACCCTAACATACATATATAAACACATTCATACATACAGAAATATAGGTAAATATAAATATAGATACACAATATAACAGGACATATATATATGCATATACATATATATACATATATATACATATGCATCAATATTTTTAACCTCTTCTCTTCTTCTTCTTTTTACCTTCTTACTTTATATATATATATATATTTATATATATATATATATATATATATATATATATATATAAACCTACTAACAAATAAATACACTTATATACAAACATACATATTACGCAGTACAAACACACATACATACAAACAAATATATACACTCATACACAGCCACGAATAACACTATGTAGGTATACAATACACATTCATATGGTCAGGATGACCATCAGGCAATAAAAGTAATAATCTATTAAACTTACAGCTACATATCATTATCATTTAAAGTATACGACCCCTATAATAAGTTAAATTTATAACGGAGTTTACAATTAACTGTTAGTTCATATCTTTCATTTAAGAGATCAGCCTTGTTTTTAAATCTAATAATTTCAAATATTTCGTTAAGACATAGGTAACATGGGGCATATAGGGTTTTCTTAATCAATCTCCATTTAACAATAGGTGTTTTGTTCTTTTCTTTTTAGATTCCAAAAATACTTGGATAATGAAGTCATGTACCTATAGTTACTGTTATTAAAAGATTGCATATGCCCCCGACAGCGTTCCTTGAATGTTTTCATGGTGCTACCAATGTAAAAAAAAAAAATTGGATTTTCACTGAAAATCTAGAAAGAATCATAAAAAGACATAATAATAAAATCCTGGAAAAACATACATGCCAAAACAGTAATAAAGCTCTTAAACTGAAATTAGATAAAAATAACGAAAAACTATGTGATTGTAGAAACCCTAAAGATTGCCCGTTGAAAAATAAATGCCTCACAAAATCCGTGGTATACCCATGCACTATCTCATCCATTGAGAGTCCTAACACTGATAGGATATACATTGGGTCAACGAACAATAAATTTAAAATTAGATGGAGACAACACAAGAGCCCCTTCAACAATATTCAAAATAGAAATCAGACATCTCTATCGCAATATTTCTGGCATCTAAAAGAAACGAATAAAACACCCAAAGTAAAATCGAAAATAATAAATAGAACAAGAACTTGTAAAACCTGGAATGATCCATGCCCTTTATGCCTACACGAAAAACTACACAACATTAAGTTTCTAAATAAGGAAAATTTATTAAACCATAGGCAGAAGTTAACGGTTTTTTGACGACCCCAACAAATTTTCGCATTAAATAATTAGCATAAAAAAATAAAATAGATAAATAAATAAATTCCATAGTTTAATAAAAGTCTTAAAAGCTTAGCAAAATCATAAAATAGAAAAAACCCTTTGTGAAGTCGTCAAAAAAACAAATTTTAGTTCAGGGCAACACGTTTGTATACGGAACAGCCATTTGAATAAACAAATAAATAAAGAGATTAACAGATAGATAATAATAAAACAAAATCCTCTCGACACTTAACGATTTGTCGTCGCGCCATGAAATATCCTTCGCTGTAAACTAACTAGACGGTGACCGCCACCGTTAGTTTTGAAATAGATACCCAAATCTACCTTAGCATAACCTTTCCGAAGGTGACGAATCTGTAGATAAGAATTAACTGTCTGACCACATAACCAAGATGGCCGGCCCAGCCGTTTCTATAGTAATTAATGTTGCAATGGACCATACTTATAAACACCCGCAAACCACAAGATAGCTTATTCCTAAATTTTCGCTTGAGGATGAAACGTGTCCCAACACCTTGATTCAACTTAATTTTAATGATTATATTGATGGCTTCGGCTCTCGTTTTTGAAACATGAGAACTCTTATGTAGCGAAGGAATCATGTTTTTAAAAAAATATCATATATATATATATATATATATATATATAGTCTACTTCAAATTAGCACAGCTATGTGCCAGCTATCCTCAGCTCAAAGGGTGTTTTTTGAATTTGGTTTAAATAGCTTTGGTGAAAACGTATGGGGCCACTTAAGGGGACACTTCAGTTTAGTCTTCAGTCTGGGTTGATGACCAGGAATTGGTCCGGGTTTGGGGGTTTATTTATGGTCAAGGCCTTTAGTTGTATGTAAATGAATTTAAGTTCCTGGTAGTAGATTATATTATTAGGTGACACACATATACGTATACATATATATGCGCACACACACATATATATATATATATATATATATATATATATATATATATACACACACATACACATAGATACATATCCACACCATCCCTTTCCACCATTAAGTTTCGGTTATAATATTAGGAATGCTGAGCTATACCCAAAATTATTTAAGGGGAAGATGTTACAGTAAAAACTTAATCAGAAGGGATTATATCAATTGAGGAGTTGTTTATTTTTGTTAGTAAGTGAATGATTGTAAGATTTATATTCTTATATCAGCTTGAACCTGCTTCTGTCCCTACATGTTTATACTAGTTCTCTCCTTTGGTTTAATAGTTTGTATTGATCATCGTATTTTATTATTTCTTTTTCCTCTAAACATAGCCCGAATCTATCTCTAAAGCTATTAGAAATATGTGCAAAACCTATATTTTTCCAACCTATCTGTGGATTTAGACCCTTTTCCTTATCTGTGGATCAGTTTTAATATCTGATATCACTAGGATTCACCTGGATTATATACCAACGGTACCAACCTGTACCATATATATATATATATATATATATATATATATATATATATATATATAACCAAAAGTTCCTTGTCGTTTTTTGATTCATTAGTAACAAAAAAGTTACACACCAAATTTGCCATACAGTTAGTCCTCAAAGTTATCCCCCATCGGTATCCAAAAACCTTTGGTCAACGTGCCCTCCAGCTGCACAATGTCCTGGTGGTAAAAAGCAGGTTTTTGGGACGTAAAGAATCTGTAAGTGTCTACCGCAAGTTTGCCTCATTTGCGAAGGTTCTCCTACGAAGGTGGTTGCCCAGGGTATGGAAGTCTGTTGACGCGAGTTCTGTGAAGTAACCTGGATGGCACAGTGTGCCCCAGTCAAGCCAGCCTATGGTATCACTAGCCACCAACACCACATGAGACCTGACATTGTCATGGAGTAACAGTACATCCTTGCGATTAACTAATGTTAGCTTCTTCTATTTCAGTACCTTTTGCACACGTTCCCGATACTTCGAGTCCAAGACCGCAGTAATGGTTTGGCCAGTTGGTAGCAGATCATATTGTACTAATTGTCGACTAGTCTATCATATAGAGATAATGATTCTGCGTGGGTGTAGAGGTTGTCTTGTGGTATGAGGCACACTATCTGGCACGCTTGGGAGTGTTACTCAGGACCAATGTTACCTCATTGTTGAGCACTCGATCAAATATTGGTACTTTGTGGTGCTGAGAAATCAACGAGAACAGGCTGTCACTCGTTGTTGCGTATACCCAATTGCTGAACTTGTACGCCTTCTCTATGCAGTGCAGTTGAGGTCTGACTGTTTCATCAGAAACCTGTAAGTATTCAGCAAGCTCACCACTTTGTTTGGCTTTTGTACTCCGCTATGGCTGCCTTCAGGGCCACATCATCCAGAAACACTGGCTGGCCACTGCAGTTCGTCACAAAGTAACAGATCTCCCGACTTGAACTACTGGAACCAATGTCTGGCAATGCGTTAACTCATAGCATTATCCCCAAAGGCTTGACGTATTTGGTATCTTAATGCGGAGAAGCCCAACTTAAATTCATAAATGTTACAGTTTTTTGTGTATAGTATGTAACTAGTGAGCCAATCCAAATGCCTTGACTCGCTTTATAGTCTACCAATAGAAGGTTAAGCAATCAGAAGCCGCAGAACATTCTATCCGTCGTGTATAAAGGCGGCCATTTTTGTTTACCCTACCCGAATGACCAGTGCCAACTTGTCAGGCGAAGATGACAGAAGGAAGTACTACGCTCTGCTACTTTGCTGCGATATCCACTACTAACCTGAACTACGCTTTCCTACTGTCTCCGAAATATTCACTGCTAACCTCTGGATTCTATACCCGAAGACGACCGTCAAAATGTCTAACAATAAATCAGACAACCCCACACGAGCTGCTTCACCATTTTGTTTCCTCGCCGATACACAAGCTATAACTGATGCCCACATTCCCACTTTCAGCGCTTAACGGCACGTAACGCACTCGTTTGCGTCTCGGTGATCACTTCTTCCCACACGGTCGGCGATATTGGTTATAGTTCAAATTATTCTAGAATCTATTGAGTAGAAATAGTTTCGATTTTTAAGCAACGTAGTAAAAATTAAAATAAATAATCAAAATCTAAATAAATATTTAAAAATATTAAGGAAAGGATAAAAAAATTAACAAACTACAAATGTAGGCATAAACACTCTCTCTCTGAGAGAATGAAAAGGAAAATTGTTAATGATGTCCCAAAGAATCCTCACTTAACGTCAAATGACATTGTCAATGATGTAAACATATCAGTATTGAATGTATCGACGAAGACGGTCACTAGATGCTTTCATCAAGGAGCCCCCCCCCCTCCAGCTTGCCTCTCAAGGAAAACTTCCTGGCTTAAAGCTAAAATGAAGATTAGCTTATGCTAGAAGATATCAAGACCATGGGAATAAATACTTAAACTCCGTTTCATGGTCAATACCCGAAAGGTGTCTTTGTGGTGTCACAGGACGTTCCAAGTTAAGGTATTGGCGTATCCCGCACAAAGTCCTAATCTAAACCCTATTGTAAATTTATGAGCATATTTGAAGAAAACGTAAGAAAAAAAATCCTTCGAATTTAGAGGAACTAGGAACTATTTCCAAAGAAAAATGGAGAAAAATATTTCTCATTGTGCGAAGTGATCTTGTAAGGAACTATCAAAAACGATTAAAAGCAATAATCAAGAATAAACGTTACACAGTTGATTACTAGGGCAAAATGGCCAATAGTTTTGCCCTATGTTAAAAGATTTATGGTGTTTTTTGTGTTATTGTTTGTCATTAAAATAAAAATTTTGTTCACGGCACATTCTTTCAAATCCATTATTTCATCATTTGTGAAAAAAATGAAGTTTTTATGAAAATTTTCAGGTATTACGGCTTTATTTGTAATTATGGAAGTGGAGTGAATAATTCTGTCCACAACTATATATATATATATATATATATATATATATATATATATATATATATATATATATATATATATATATATATATATATATATATAAAAAATCACTTTAAACGTTATTATTATTGAATAGTCGTGTTTAACTAGGCGCTTCCATTATATAATATTTTAGAAATTTTATTAAAGAAAAATTTGCGTACTTTGGCAGGAATCGAACTTGTTTCCTCAGAATAGGGAATCCAACGTTTAGCTCAGTGCGCCTTTACCGCTTGGTGAAGCCAATTTCATGCTTTGAAGCAAAATTTCTCCTGACATAGATTTCTCGGAGATGCATTCAACATATATATATATATATATATATATATATATATATATATATATATATATATATATATATATATATATATATATATATATATATATATATATATATATATATATAATATATATATATATATATATATATATATAGTAAGAATGGGTTTGATAACCCGTGTGGATATTTCATAGAGGATGTAATCCAAAAAGCTTAATTTAACAACAGAGCAAATATTAATTAAACAATTAAGAAAGAGACAACCTTAAGGTTCCATGACTATAATTTATTATACTTATATATATATTGAGTGGCGATAGTCTGTTTAATGCAAGGTGTTCAACCTTTTTTCTTAATAGGCCGAATTAAAAATGTAGGTATATACACCGGACGACAAAAGAATTTTATATAAATATGCTTTTAAAAATTTCAAATTTTAATAACAAATATATATATTTACAAAAAATATTGTATTATTGACAGAAAAAATACACAAAATGAAATACATTCAATGTGTTTTATGACATTGCTTTCCTTTTATAATATTGCCAATATCTACTTTGATGGTATTAGTCTTTATTCTAAGAATGATCAATGACAATCATTCAACCTATTTCATTCAAAAATTTTGATGTTCTTATGGACGAAAAGAATTGTTTGCGGTACTATATATTAACTCACATATACATAACAGTTTTCTAGATAAACTGACAATTTCATCGAATTCATTGAATGAATTGAAATTCAAGAGAAGTTTCTCTATAAGTTTTCAAATATTCCCTGTTTTGTAGCTCTAAGTTCTATCTGGTATTCGGTTGGTGGTTCCACATAATTAAATGAAAATGGCTCACTATACCAATTTAATTCAGTTTCTATTTTTATGAGGTCAAAAAATCTTGTTGTAAAATCTTTTAACAAAACTTTACATAATTTACTATATTTTACAAAGTTCACAGAAAATTCTTCTTTCTTTTTAATAAAGTCAGAAAATATACAATTTCACCGGCTTTCAATTATCTTATCAAAAGTTGTAACTTCTTATTATGTCTCTGCCAGTTATTGTACCCTTTATCTGGCATAAGTTCAACATTTCTTCAATTATATTAAAACTAATATCAATTCGTCTGATGAAAATAACTAATTGTGCAGTGTGACTTGACTGCTATTTTCGTTCAATACTAAATTGTAATAAACACATTTAGATGAATGGGTCTGCAGTGTACTCTCAATACCGTCAGCTATGTCATCAATTTTTCTACCAATTGTCTTATCTGAGAGACTAGTTTCATTCCATAAGTTCACTTTCTCGGGTTAATATTCATTAAAAGCAATTACGTTCTTTTATTAATTCACGATCTATCAGTGGCTTGCCCTTCCGAGCCAATTTTTCCGCCATTAAATATCTAACATTTGTACATGTATCAGTTTTAACAACAGATATTTTGAGAATGTTTTTGTTGATGACTAAACTGCTTCTTTAATTCATCTATTTTCATTTTTCTTCATTTAATTTATTATATTCTAATTCATGCTTGACATCATAATGACACTTAATATTATATTCATTGCACACAACAAATGAGGCAGACTGCATGTTTCAATTACGAAATATTTTTCTGTCCATGTTTCTCTTTTCTTCTGTTATTTTTCTCTTTTCTTATTTTTATTTTGCCATGACCAAATGCTGACTTATTAAAAATATAAGCTAACTAAATAATTATGAATATAATTGGAATATGTTGAAAGAATTTAAATTATTACGTTAGCAAAAGAAACACATAGACTTATATCTGTATTCAGTCAGTTGTGTGCCATGCGTGAT